TATTTTTATAATATAATTTTGTAATATAATTTTTTTATATTTTTTTTTTCAGAACTATCATTATTATAAATTTTCAATAAATATTAACAGTTGTTTCAACAGAAAAGAATTGTAAAATTAGTTTTTATTCGAATAGAGCCGATCTCTGTTCTAGATGTACCAATGATCGACATCTTTTATTTGCTTTATCTATTTATTAACTCGACTATGCCTATGACGATTACTAGTCCGTAGAATGTCTAGATAATAACAATTACGGATCTAATTTTTTTATTTAGATTTTGGATACATTATTCGATTCACAAGAATATTTTTGGGCCCATCTAGTAATCAACAGATATGGCGATTACTCGAATGATTACGTGCTTCAGTGAACCAGTGCTTGTCATGTAAAAAAAACTGAAATTTGTATGAAACAATAATTTGTGATGGTATACGTAAAACTGCGATCTCGAATTATAATTCGAAGCTCAATTTATTCCCTGCAAGTTGTCAATACTCCAAAATCACGAGATGTCTTTTAACCTCACAATGAAGCATTTTATTGAAATCACGCATAGGCTCGGTTGCTGTATATATTCATGATTTAATCAATAGTGAATTCATATATTTATGAGTTTCCTAATGTAACATTGTAAATATTTCCTTGGAATACCGACAATAAAAATATTAGCAAGCCTTACGATCAACAGAAAGCATTAAAATACATCTTTAATACGTGAACTTGGTGATTATTGGTATCCTGATTTCCGGGCCAACTATCTCATTTTTATGTATAAAAACAGGTCAAAATCAAACAAAATGACTTCTGTAACTAACCATAAGGATAGTTGACGAAATCTTTCAATTTGATAAAAAATAATCTCGTAAGACACCAGAAAATTCATTTTATTCTGTCAAATTAACAAAAATGTAGTATTCTATAGATCTGCTTTATTAAAATTCTTCTAAAATAATTTTATCAAAAAAAAATATGTCTATGATAATTTATGTTGCATTTATCAATTGCTTATGTAAACTTCTTTCTTTGTAATATCCAATCTAAAATAGTTGTAATAAAATTGCATTTCTGCATGTGTTTATACTCTAATTTTAAATATTGTAGTTTTTTAAGACTTTAAAGTAATCGTAATTTCTTTATTTTTAGTCATATATCTTTTAATTATATCGACTATTTTTAACTTAATTATTTCGAAAAATGGTAATTTATTTTTTTGTTGTTGCTAATTATCTTTGCAGATTATTAACGTGACTTATTTTTTTTCCTACATCATGACTCTAATTATATCAAAGATAAAGAAAGAAAGTTCACGAGTCATGTGAGCAATTTAGGTGAACTAATCTTGGATTAGCGATTCACCGTTTGTCTTATATTATAATACAGACAGAAGAAAAATTAATCATTATTTCTTTATTAATAATATTTTTTATGTAAATCTTATATTCTGTACACTTCACATGTTGCATATAAATTTTTTTTTTTTACATTTGAATAGAACGGAACAATGTAAGGATAGGGTCACTTTAAGGTTGCGAAGAATAAGAACTTCTATTATATATCTATTTTTGTCCAAACCATGCAAATCAAACAATACATCTTTTATTGTCATTGTGATTAGTGTGTCCGGTAAATACATTTAATATTTGAATAAATAAATAAAAAATGAAAGAAAATACTCATTTGAATTCACTTTTTTCTGTTGTTTATTGGATTCGTGTAATAAAATTTTTTAATAAGATTTTAATTCTTATATAAATTCTAATTCTCTAAGGACCACTTGTTCCATCTTTAGATAAATTATGAGGTAATTTACTTATTGAATAAACAAAAGAGTAAGACCATAAGAGAATAAGAAAGTAACAGCTAAAATTTATCGGAAGATGGAACAACTCAATTTAATTGTTTTTTACTTAATAATTTATCTGAATTAGTAGATTTATATATCTTATGTTTTCAGATAAAATGTGCGATCAAATAAGTGACGCCATTTTGGATGCACACCTGAAACAAGATCCCGACGCTAAAGTAGCATGCGGTAAGTTTCGCCAAGACAGTGCTGATTTCTTCAAGCACTTGAATATGTATCTATTTATAAATTAGTTTGTTCGGCCCCGAACTAGTTTTAGGTCGAAACTTTTGACTTCTAACTATATTACATTTGCAATATGTATTATTAAAATTAATCAAAATTAACTTTTGAAAGAGAAAAAAATTTTTCCAAATATATTGTAGTTGCCTTAATCTTTTATTCAATTTTTCAATCTTTTAAATATAGTCACTATTCTGCATTAAATATATAATGTACAACAAAATCAAAATTTTTATTTATCACAGAAACCGTAACAAAAACTGGGATGATATTATTATGCGGAGAGATTACATCAAAGGCTGTAGTGGATTATCAGAAGATCGTTCGTGATACAGTAAAACACATCGGCTACGATGACTCTTCAAAAGGTACATCTAATCGAGGCGATATTTGCATTCTATCTGCCCTTAATTTTAGTGATGCACGTCTCTTACTTTTCCTGATTGTTTTTGACACTTTGTTGGATGTCAATGTTTGCGCGAGAAAAGTTGAAATCTGTACTCCCGACGAAACAAGTTTCGGGAGTGTAAAGATTTCAATTTACATTATATTCATGTAACACATGCATGCTCTGTGGCTAGAGATGTAAAATTACCGTCAAATTCAATTTAACAATCACGGTAAAATTACGGTAAAATGGTAATTTATTGGTAATTATCTAGCTTTTTATTGAATTACTTAAAATTATTTTATATTTCTATTTAGATATTTCGACAGTAGTGCAATTATAGAAATATTATTTTATTTTTTATGTATAATTATATCTTTGCTTTTACTTTAATAAAAACTGTAACAGTCTAGCCGCTAAAATAACAAGCAAATAAATAAAAGTTTTATAAATTTAATTGTAAAGTAAAAAATATAAAAATACAAATAAAAGGATTAAAATATATACAAAATAATTTAAAATTACTGTATTGTTACATTTTTTCAGAATCTTGATAAAAAAATTTATTTGAAGTTTTTATAGTTTAGACTAATGTACCTAGTCTTTTAATTGTCATACATAATAGTTGTCAATATATAATAATTAAAAGGAATAATATTACATATTAACCTTTTTTTTTTATTGCTTTTTGACACACTGGATGGCTCATACCCAGAGCAATGTTTAAACAACTGACATTCTCATTTAAAAAATCCAATCAATATGAAAAAAATTATGATCCAATTTCAAGATCTGTAGAATACATTCAAATAACTTTTGATTGAGATTTCATTACAGTTTTGTGAAAAACAAGTCTTGGATTCAATGAATAGAAAAAAAAAACGAATAAAATCTTTGAAAAATTAGAACTTTTAAAAAATTTAATATTAAAAATTTACAGAATTGTTCAGATATACTTAAAAAAAAATTAGTTTGTAAGTTGGTTTTGGATAAAAGGTATTTATTTTGTATATTGAATGTAGGCTATTTTGGGAACAGAAAAAACAAAATTTTTTTATAAATATTATATTTTTGTTCTACAAAATAAAAGAAAATTTCAGAGTTTCAGAGTTAAAATAATTTTGTGGGTGGTTCAGGTATGTCAACGAAGGGTTAATATTACATATATTACATATATATTGATATACAATATATTATACTGTATACCAATATGTAATATCAAAATGAAAAATATGAGTTAAATGAAACATTTAGTAACTAAAAGCTAAATGCTCCTACATCAAATTATTTTTTTTATTTTTTTTTAAATTACCATTTTACCAACCAAAAATTACTGACTAATTTATCGAATAAATTACCGTAAAATTTGATCATTCTCATCTCTCTGTGGCCGAATAAATAGCCAATCTTTACTCATCTCTTTGCATGATCTTTTTTTTTGTCCGAAAGATAATGAGCAGAATACAGATTATCTGATCGATCGGGGCATGGAGGATTCAAGTCAAATATATGTATACACAAAGAATCTTTATATTTGTCTTGATGTATTATTATTTTATTATAAAGAAACAAAAAAATAATGTCTACAACTTGAATTTTTTGTGCCATGATTCGATCGTGTTGTCATAACGATTCGATAAGGGAGAATCGTATGAGGCGGATTTTATGAGGAGCTGACTATTCAACCACAGAGCATGCATGTGTTACACGGGCATAATGTAATACATGCATGCTCTGTAGCTGAATAAGTAGCCAACTTACGACAACATGATCGAATCATCGCACAAAAGATTCAAGTTGTAGACATTATTTATAATTTTTGTTTCTTTATACTGAATAATATTATAATAATAATACTATAATATTAAGACAAACATAAAGATCTTTTTGTATACACAATTCTTTGTGTATACACATATTTGACTTAGAGCTTCCATGCCTCAATCGATCGGATAATCTGTATTCTGCTCATTATTTTCTTTCGGACAAAAAAAAGATCATGCAAGGAGATGAGTAAAGACTGTGTAACGTAAGCATATCGTGGCAGGATTTGATTGGCGTACACTGAACCTTTTGGTGGCGATCGAACAGCAATCACCGAATATCGCGGATGGTGTCCATATGGACAGACAAGAGACGGACGTGGGTGCAGGTGATCAGGTAACCCATTCTCAGTCCATGCCACAGAACAGTAAAAAATAATTCAATATTCTTATTTCTTCCCCTCTCTCCCCTTCCTGGAAAGATTGCCTCAAAATCTGTTTTGCTATTCTGTATGTCACAAGCGTGTGTTACATCTACGTGTGTGATAATGCAAGCACTCGTACAAGTATTTATAAGCACTATTGTTGTAAGATAATACTATAACATTTTTATGAAAAATTCTTCACAATGCTGCGTCAATCGTGCAGGAAATTTCTAATTTGACAGAAATATCTCGAAGATGAATTACAAAGCACTGGAATGTGATTCCAACAAAGTGCCGATATTACTTATCATGTTTATAGGAAGTAAGGCTGCCTGTAATATGTTCAGATACACGCATACATATAACATTATTCATTATGTATAATAAGTTCATTGTTTAATCTATAAATAAGTATAACATGTACCAGACAGAAGAATTAGTATTTCAAAGAACTGAAATTTATTCGATATTTTGAGAAATTTGTCTGAACTCGTACATTCAGCCATCAGTATTAATTTTAATCAAGCCAGGATCAATGCAGTATGATAAAAACCCGATACATCAAAATGGCGGAATCTCATAAAAGAAGAATGTTGATGCATTAACAGCAGTGAATATCTTTATCTTATGTAGTTGATTTCTGCAGGTTTTGACTACAAGCTGTGCAATGTTCTATTGGCACTCGACGCTCAGTCACCAAATATCGCGGCAGGCGTTCATGAAAACCGTAGCGACGAGGAAGTGGGAGCAGGAGATCAGGTCAATTAGCATTTCCATCGTTGAATTTATCTTTTCTCTTTGTTTTCTATTTTCTTCTTTTTGACCGTTTGCCTCCTGCGCTACTAAGTACATTCTTTACAGTACTAGTAACATCACTTCTTCTTTACTTCACTTGTACTCCACTAGCCTGTTTCTTATTTCTTCACTATAGAGGTGGAAGTGGTATTTGACATATTGAGTGTCTTTCATTGCTGCATTATCACAGTAGCATTATCTAAAATGCACTACTATACGAATGATTCTGTTGTGAATTCTGTAGCTGGATCTGGAATATAGGAAGTGCGAAATTGATTGAGTATGAATACAATTTGTGCATGAAAGTTTATGTAGATTTGAAAACATTTATACGTTTTACACTGTAGATCTCTAATATCTCCATAGAATAATCACTTCAGTATGATTCTATTTTGTAGTTGAGAATGTAATTTATTGTTAAATAATTTAAATTAAATAAAATTGATCTGGCTAAAATCATAATCCTAATCGAATTTGTTATGTAATTAAATTGGTTGGTTGTATTATTAATGGTGTGAGATGTAAATATTTTGTAAATAGTTTTTTTACTGCAATTGTTAATGACAATATCCCTTCTATCATATTTACATATTCTGTTCTGTGTGTGGCATTCTTTATTGTTCTTTATTATTATTTTTTATTGCTTTATTACTTGCTTTTTTACAGCACAACATGTATATTAATATTATGCAATAATTTAATCTTCACAAAAGCTTCTCTATTTTTATTTAAACTTTCTTTTATTTCACGCACAAAAATATGTTTACTTTTATATTTTGACAGCACATAATTTCAAATAACTAATCTATATATTTAAAATTATATGTACAATATTTTGCTTGTGAAGCTTATATCTTATAAATTTTAGTTGGAATAACTCAAATTCTTCCACCAGGGTCTAATGTTTGGATATGCAACTGATGAAACCGATGAATGTATGCCACTGACGGTCGTGTTGGCGCATAAATTGAATCAGAAAATCGCCGAGCTAAGACGAAGTGGCGAATTGTGGTGGGCTCGTCCAGATTCAAAAACACAGGTTTGATTTTTATATATCTGTATATATTTTTCATTTATCTTAATTTATAAAGCGTAGAGTTTAAATCTGATATGATAAACAAACAAAAAATTTACCGGAATTTAAGAAATTTTTAGGAGATTTTCAATCTAATTATTAGTGATTAGTTTTTCATGTTTAGAGACAATTAAAAAATGAGATTTATAAACAATGACGATTATTCGAGGATGAATTTTATGAAGTATTTGCTACTCATGAATGCTATGATGTTAAAATTTAAACTGAGAATAATCTATCAAATGTATGTGTTTACAATACATTAATAATTTAAAAAATTAGTGTAAAATTATACATAAAATGTAAATATGTATGCGATAGGTAACCTGTGAATACATCATGGATCACGGAACCTGCGTACCTATAAGAGTCCATACTGTTGTCGTGTCATTGCAACATAGTGAAAAAATTAGTCTAGATGAACTACGTAAGGCGGTCATGGAGAAAGTCATCAAAGAAGTGATTCCAGCGAGATATTTGGATGAAAGAACAGTCTTCCATGTGAATCCTTGCGGGCTTTTCATTATTGGTGGACCGCAGGTATCATTAAAATATTAAAAAATGAAGTTCATAGACAATGGTGATTATTCGATGATGCATTTTGTATATTTGCTACTTTTGAATGCAATGATATTAAAAATTAAACTGAGAATAATCCTTCAAATATATATTTTGCAATATTTTAATAATTAAAAAAATTAATATACAATTATATATAAAACTTATATGATTATGTTTTAAATTATTACATGACAATGCAAATATTAATCAATCTTAAATAAAAATATGCATTACGTTTTGTAAATTGTGTTCTCTCTTTCTGATATACTCCTATTACAAATTTCAGAGTGACGCTGGTCTTACTGGTCGAAAGATCATCGTAGATACGTATGGTGGTTGGGGAGCGCATGGTGGTGGTGCATTTTCCGGTAAAGATTTTACGAAAGTGGATAGATCAGCTGCATATGCTGCAAGATGGGTTGCTAAATCCTTGGTGAAAGCTGGTCTTTGCAGACGGTGTCTTGTACAGGTAAAAAAAAAATTTATAAGCATCAAGATTTTATTAAAATAAATTAAACAATGTCTATAACTTTTGTAATGTGAAATTCCATAACTTTGTATCATATAGAAAATTTGCAATTATTTGTGTTAGGTTTCTTATGCTATTGGAGTAGCGGAACCATTGTCTATCACAGTTTTCGATTATGGCACATCCACGCGTTCACAAAATGAGCTCTTAGACATAGTGCACAAGAATTTCGATTTGCGACCCGGAAAAATCGTCAAGTATGTATAATTAATTTTTCTTGTAATTTTAATACTTTTATTACACAAATTGTTATAATAAATATTATTTTATTTACATGATATATTACAATGATTATAATTCATTAATAATAAATCAAGAGGATAAATTAATTAAAATATATTATCTTCTTTATAGAGAGTTGAACCTTCGCAATCCTATTTATCAACAAACCAGTACATATGGTCACTTCGGACGAGACGGTTTTACATGGGAGCAACCAAAAAAGCTGGTCTTTGATTGATGAGAGGATGGATTTTAAATTGGTTTTGGCGTTTTTCGGTTTTAGGTATTTGATAGAATCTGTTTCTCGTTCTCTAATTCTATCTCCCTCTCTATCTTTTTCTCGGAGAAAAAAATCGTATTTCAAGTAAAAGAAAAGAATTTCGTCCGCGATATACTTCGATCTCCGTGCCGCAGCCATTATCGAGGCCATCGATTACGCCAATACTTAGCAATAGAGAGGACTAGGTATGGGCAATTCTCTTTCTAGTTCTTTTTGCCATGGAATACCGCATTATATATGTGACGACAGGCATAGTACAAATATCGTTTATAATCCAATATATTACATCCAATCCAATACATTACATCGCATTATGAAAAAAGCGTTATGAAAAGAGCGAATTGAGCCTATATTATGAAGCGCATTTTCATGTTTAGATGTTCAAAAACTTCTTTCTTAAACTGATGTGAATGATTTACGAGAAAACATAGGGAAATGTCCCCTTCCAATTTTGACGATTTTGATGTTTTAATTTGTGTAGTCGAGATTAAAATAAAATACGTTTTCTTATATGTTTATACGTTTCTATGATTGTACTCACTTTTATGTAATGGAACGCTTTTTTTTTTAAATAAATTTCAAAGCGAATATCATTAAAATTGTTAAAAATTTATTTACCATTATAAAATACTATAGATCATTCACACACAACTTTTATCAAAAAATTTTTTTGATCTTTTATAGAGTTGATTTTCATCAAAGTATTTTATCCCTTAAAAATGCATATATTGTCACATATAAAAAAATATATGTTTCTTATTTTAATCTAGATTATAACGTATTAAAAGCTGATTAAAATCGAAAGAGATGGATACCTTCCTGTGTTTTCTTGTCAATCTGGTAACAGCAAATTATATGCTGATGCTATTTACTTGCAAATAAATAAGAACAAAAGAAACTTGTAGTAGATAAAAATTTTCATCTTTAAAAAAATGTATAAACAAGCGCATATCGATATGTGTTTTCAGATTCGGGAATGTAACTGCAGGTCTTGTAGATTTTTAGCTGTATTAGTCCTTCGCACGTACATGAAAGTTCGATACTCCGACTTGATCAATTAATGTTCATTTTTATCAGTGTAAGTTAAAGTTAATTTACATTGGAAAAAGTAGACGTAAACGAGCTAATTTTTTAATCAGAATGCATAAATCACATACCGCTGATTTACGTAAAGTATTTTATTTCATTAATGAAACTATCGAATTATCGATCGATCTTTCATGTACGTATCTTCATTAGAATTATTAATCGTTGAGGAGGAAAAAGAAGTGTAAATTGACAATGTATCCTTGATATATGTGTAGCAAAGAAGGAAATGACGTTGCACGTCATGAACGCGTCACGTTCATGAGTTTTACGAAAGATAGTTACAACATAATACGGATCAAATACATTATCAAATTAGAATAGAATCATCATTTAAATATCTTAGAGTATTTAAAAATCATCAGATTAGAGAGTCTACAGCTTCGTAATAAAATTAGATTTCACATCATTTTATAGTATAGGTACACGCGAATATTCGTAACTATGCAATGTATTTAATAGCTCTATGGAATGTACAGTCATTTCCCCCTTTGCTATTGTTTTAACTAAATAGAACAATTGCAGCAGATATTATAAAAAGATGCGAAATTGAAAATCTAATCTCGGTAGAGGTCCAGCACAGACCGTGTGACGGAGCTCGAAACTGTTGTAGAATTTTTCATTATTCTTTGGTATATTGTCCGACATTGTCGGATTTTAATAGCAGACAAAAATTAAAAAACCCTTGTAAAAATATTTAATCACCTTCTGGCAGAATTGATGTGTGCGATTTGCATGAAAACGATATCGGCAATATGTAATAGTGCACAGATCATGAAAAAAAAATATAATAAAACCGATTTTTTAATAAAAAGCATTCTCTGTCGTTTTGTGTATTACCGCACCATTACATAGATAAACATTATCCTCGATCTTCCTAGAATTTACGCAACACATAATTTGCACTTAACGGACTAATAATTGCATTTCTGTGAATGTTTTTCCCGACAAATGGCATGAGCTCTGTCGCACAAGACTGGCTATATAGTTCGCAAATATAGCGAGTCATTTTTATATGCATTTGCACGGTCACTACAGTATAACGAATAAAATATATAACACGTAAAATAATCTGAATAATCAAATAGCTCCTATGTTTCCTGTTGCCGCACATTTTGTTACATAGCGATACTTTTACAGTAGAGTACCATAGCGTATCCAGTAAAATAGATTTAAATAAAGCATACACAAGACAGACTCGTCAGTGCAACTTATTCCTATTGTACATAAGATTTTGTAATATTTTTCTCCTTTTATATATCAAGTAATTCTCTTGTTTTAAAATATTTCCCCCTATATATAGCATACAATAGGTTTTAGGAAGCCAGGTAATAAGGATAATAATCACAATAGAATAGCATTTATGTGCACATAAATAATTCCATTAAGATAGCTTTGTATTTAGAACTATATACATCAATTATAGATAATAATAAACTTACATCGGAAAGAATACATGATACATAATCATTTATGATATATTGAATATAATATATAAAAATTATAATATAAGAATATAATTGCTGCCTAAAGGGGAAAGCTAAATTATATTAATACAATCGATGTTATTATTCTATATTCAGCTGACGTTTTTATTATGTCGCATATGCTTCGTTCAAATTGCACTTAGTATTAAAAAATGATAAGGATATAATTCCTTTATGCATATAAAAATATCAATTGAATAAAAAAATGTTCGGAACTTAAAACTAATATTGAGTTTATTTTAATCATTTTTGTATAAAAAATAGCAATGAAGTAATCGAGATGTTTCAATACTTTTTTGTGCATTTTACTTGCGTTTCAGAATTTTTACTAAAAGTTTTTAATATTTTTTGTTTTAAATTTTTTAATTTTTATATTTTAGATTTCATTTCGTGTACACACAAATGAATTGTTTGGGTAAGTTTCTTAAGTAATAAAATTTGCTAATATTTATACAAAAATGACTAAAATAAATATACGTTAAATGTTCCTTAACATTAAATGTACGAATTACATATAAGATTACACAATTAAGCCCATCTCAATGAAATAAACACAAAAAAACCCCTCAAAAATCTAGATTAGAAATTTTTTTCGCTAATATAGACAATTCACTGCAGGTCTAATTCCGACACAGATCAAAAATTTGAAAGAATTTTTCATACCCACTGGATCCCAGGAAAATCACAACAAACTGAGCAAATATTGCTCAATTTGCTATGAGTTTCTTGGGCGCATGGATACGACTGTGTCTTAGCAGTGAACTCTTATCTGTAAATGTCTTCTCACACTCGACGCACTTGTACGTTCTACCAGTGTGCGTAACCAAATGCCTGCTGAGACCCGATGCATGACAAAATGCTTTTGGACAAAGTTGACAATGATGCAATTGAATATCATTCGGATTCAATTTCTGATGCCGACGCATGTGTACTTTAAGCGCTTCTCGCTGCGTGAAGCTCTTATCGCAATGCTGGCACTGAAATGGTTTTTGGCCAGAATGTGTCATTAAGTGCCGGAACAAGATTTCCTTCTGAGCGAAAGCACGGTGACAGATATTGCAACCAAATGGTTTTTCACCTGCAATATAAATAAAGATAACATTAATTGTATTATATATTTATTATATATTTATTCCTATAATAAATTTAATAGTTATGCATTTTTCAATGAATTGTTCATAAACGAATACTATATGATTTGTATTGAAAAGAAACAATCTGTTCAAAAAGAAGATTTTTTACGATTGTGATTAAAATTTTTAATATCATAAATGTGAAATAGCAGATCTTTTTCTTAATAGGCAAATTGAAACAATTTCAGCGAGCTAGCTAGATAAGCTAGTCAACATCTCTAGAAAGAAATAATATTGAGAAAAATGTCCACAAATATTTAGTTTTTATATATATGTATTCATAATTAATATGAAAAACAACAAATACCAACCTGTATGTGTACGCTCGTGTCTTACTAACGCAGATCTTGTCGGAAACCATTTTTCGCATGCCTGACACGTAAATCCCCTCTGTGTAGAATGTACTGACTGATGACTCTTCAACATTATTCTTCGGGTGAACGCTTTCGGGCACTTGTCGCATTTAAACACCTTCAATTCTGGATTAGCATCAACTGCAATATACATTTGTCTTTTATATAACTATCGCATTCTCTACTATCGTCATTTCTCCTTTATTACAGATAACATATCTTGTAGAATTCTTTACCGATTGTGTCACCCAAGGGCTGTAACTTCAATGAATCAGGCTCATTAGGATTGTCGCTGGTGACTTCCATCATGTAAACATTCTTATGTTCGTTTCCTATTCCTCGCTGCATCTCTTCTGTCTCGTCGTCGGACTCCTGTTCTTGTTTGATACGCGATGTCCTTATCGTACAGCGTGCCTTCGCCATTCGTTCCTCAGCAGGTACCAGCGTAATGTTCTCCGGATCCTCCGAGATATTTTCCTCCATCTCTGGATTTTCAGAAGTCATTCCTGCATATCAATTAATAACGGTACATATATATAAATATTTATAAACATTTCTCAATATTACTTCCTAGTAATAAATTTTAATCTTCCAGAGTAATAAATTTTAAATACAAGTTTCTAAAATGAAGATTAAACAATCTTTAATAAAATTTTCAATTTTAAAAAGCCAATGGAAATCGGTCCATTTACTATCATTTACTGTCATTTACTATAATGTGATGAAATAAACTCCTTGTCAGTAACACACCCAGAATATAGCCACCAACAAGTTCCTCCTCTGTCACTTTGATAGGATCTCCATCTGTCTGACCACTGTTGCCTTTCGTTGAAACCAGATCAGCTAGCAGCTGCTTAACTTGCTTGGACTTTCCCGTGGATTCTTGAGACTCATCCCTACTGTTATCCTGGTTCTCGCCTTCTTCGTCCTGCCCAGTCAATTGTTGAATCAACTTCATATGCTTTCTAAGCTTGGAATCTGCAGCCTGGCATTTTTTTCTAAATTGATAGGATTTCTCCAACTGATATTTGCAGGGATGACATATCATGTTAGGCAGACCATCCTGCTCAAAAACCTATCAAAAACATATCAAGGTCTTCAGTTTATCAACTTTAATTAAAGCTTAATAAGATAAATGGAGCTAAACTGATACTTAAAAAATATAATACATATTTTATCAATACAATTTACATGAGATTCCACTTCAATCAAAATCTAATAAAATTTATCTTGCCTTTCTCTAACATAATCGAACATTTCGGATTGGAACGCGGAAAGCTCGAGCATCTTTCGGAGTTTACGTGCCATTGAGAGAAGTCGCCATTCGAAGAGCACGGGGCGTTTAAAAAAGCTGCGATTCCTCAAAGAAGCTCGGCTGCGAATTACATCGGGACGCTACACGTCCGACGCGTACTAACATTACAGATCTCTATAAATCCGTAGAGTAAACAGGAGTGCCTGCATCGTGCCGGTTCTAGGTCTCTGTAATGAGGTAGTAGC